TGTGTGTGTGTGTGACAAAGAGAGAGAGGGAGAGAGAAATCTCAGAGCACTGAACTCTAGACCATGGGAGCTTTAAAAAATAATCTTAGGTTGAATTAAAAACAGCAGCAGTGGTAGTGGTAGTCCCTGATGTAGGCGCTGGGTCACAGAAGACTAGGACAACTACCCACACCCCTGTTCCCTCCAGGCCCCTCTAGCATAGGAGTAGAAAGGGACAATGGAGACAAATACCGGGGGGTAGAAGAGTCAGAAGAATTGGCAGTGCCCTGACATAACTCCTCATATTCTTGGAGAACCAGACATTTATTTCTAGTCGTTTCCGTAGCATGCTAGAGGTTTACATGTTGTCTCCTTTAACACTTTTCTGCCTCTGTGCTCTCCAATTTGTGTTTTCCTTGCTGTGACCACGACTTTTTACTGTTCCCCGTCTTGGCCTACCACATTTGCTGAATCTCATCAAAACCTTCAGGAATCAAATCTTTCTCTTTCACCTGGTTACATCCCTCCTCCACCTTCTTTAGCTTTTTCTTGCTTCCCCAGCCTGGACCCCCAATTGGTCTCCTCACTTACTCTGAGCTCATTTACTCTCTTGATATTTACTGTGCATCTTAGTAGCTCTTTATCCACACCTCATTTCCCCCCCGCAGCTGTTCCCAGTGTTTAAATCAAAATTTAAAGGCAGAATTGTTCACTCAGCTGGACCAAGGAGTTGCTCTGCAGACAGAATCTAGATGCTTGGCATTCAAGGATTCGACACAGTGGTCTCAGTTTTGACTCTTCAGAGGCCTTAAAGTCATCCACGAGGAGACCTTTGCACTTTTCCTGCAGTGAGTACCCAGAGGCTGCCAGGCAAGGGAGATGAGAGCGGAGCCCAGGACGAGTCTGCCCAGGAACCGCGTCATCTGGTTCTCTTAGCACTGACTTTCACAGCGACTCTCCCAAAATGATCACTTTTCCTTTGAGAACGCAGAGGATGGATAAGAACAAAAACTGTAGTAAACAAGTTTTCCAGCCAAGCCTTTGCTGTTTTTGTGAGGATTGTACAGGAAATCAGTGAATCGAACGAAATGGCCTTGAGGAGCAAGCCAGGCACAGGCATTTCTGTATGAACTTTGCCCTGTTCATCTCTTCTTGGTTTCCTTTAGAATTCTCCTCTGCAGGTAGTTCCCAAACTCCTTTTTCACACTCCCTGTTACCTGCAGGGTCTGATTAAGCCAGCCCCTTCAGCCCTGCTGGTTTTTTTCCAGCTGACCCTTCTTCATCTCTCCAAACTTTATACCATCTCCCCATGGGCATCCTGTGTTTGCCTGCCCCATTCCCTTCTTTTATTTAAGTCTTTTTTTCCCCTTCCATAGCATACCTTAAATTCTATGTCTCCTGTCAAACCTTTTCTGAACATCCATTCTCAGGAGTCACTACCTTGCTGCCTGTGGATGGTTCATTTGGGGTTGCTTGTGCTGTCTCAGCTGTTTTGCCACACCCAGGCCAGAGCCACCTGGTGCCTGCCCAGAATATAACCGTTATCTCAGTCCAGGCTCCTTGACAACTCAGCTACTGCTGTTCACAAATCAGCATGCCAAGCACAGTGCCTTTCAAGTAGTAGCCATTCAATTGGACTTACATTGGCACAGATGATAATACTGATTAGAATGGGTTATTGGGGGCCAACCCTCTGGCTCACTCGGGAGAGTGCAGCACTGGGAGCGCAGCGGCGCTCCTGCTGCGAGTTCGGATCGTATATAGGGATGGCCTGTGCCTCACTGGCTGAGCGTGGTGCGGGCGACACCAAGCCAAGGTTTGCGATCCCCTTACCAGTCACAAAAAAAAAAAAAAAAAAAAGAATGGGTTATTGGAGTGAAAGGGAAGANCAGAATATAACCGTTATCTCAGTCCAGGCTCCTTGACAACTCAGCTACTGCTGTTCACAAACCAGCATGCCAAGCACAGTGCCTTTCAAGTAGTGGCCATTCAATTGGACTTACATTGGCACAGATGATAATACTGATTAGAATGGGTTATTGGGGGCCAACCCTGTGGCTCACTCGGGAGAGTGCAGCACTGGGAGCGCAGCGGCGCTCCCGCCGCGAGTTCGGATCGTATATAGGGATGGCCTGTGCCTCACTGGCTGAGCGTGGTGCGGGCGACACCAAGCCAAGGTTTGCGATCCCCTTACCGGTCACAAAAAAAAAAAAAAGAATGGGTTATTGGAGTGAAAGGGAAGAGTGAGTGTTGGAGATGACAGAGGTTTTGTTAGACTGGTGTTATTAAGAGATTGTGGTTCAGTTAATAAGAGTAGGAAAACTAGAGAGAAAGCTGGCTTCTAGGAAGATGGTCAGCTTTGATTTGAGATTTTGGTGAGTTGGGTAGGGGAGCCAGTTTTAGAAGGAGATGGGTCCGTTTTCAGCATATTGAGTTTTTTTTTGCCCAGTGGGAAATCCTAGCAAAGCAAATAGTTGGAAATTTAGGGAAAATATCTGTGGATAATGTGTATTTTGTAACGTGTTTATCTTTCTTCTTTTTTCGAATAGTGTCCCGAGCGAGAGAAGCAGTCCTAGATGCCCACTTTCTTGTTTTGGCCTCAGATTTGGGCAAAGAGAAAGCAAAGCAGCTGCGCTCTGATATGAACTCATTTGATATGTTAAGATATGTGGAAACTCTAGTAAGTTCAAAGCTACAGAATTTTAATAATAAATGTTTTCTCTGTTATATATTGTATAATTATCTACTTTGCTCATATCCATATGCAGCTGGTTTTCACCTCATTTTTCCCTTTTTCTTTTGGTCTCAGATTTTTCCAAAGAGATCTTACCAAGTTAAGCAGATGAAAGTAGAGATATGTGGTGAAATTTAGGGTGGGAGCTTGGAGCGGTTTGAAAATCTCTTAGTGTTCTGTTTAAGACTCTGGGTGCTGTGGTTACTTACAAATGGCCATTTTTCCTCAGCCAGTTCATAATCGCTCTAGATCATTCTTAGTGACTTGGAACCTTTGTCCTGGGCTGGGCAAAAGCCCACACTGAAGGTGACAGAGCTGGAGATGAGTTAGGCCTGAGGAGGGGGCATGTTTTGGTCTGTGTTTGAGAATATTTTAGAACCATATGTATATGATTGGGGTTTTGCTTTTTTTGGTTTGATTTTGTTTTATTTACCTTTCTTTGCCTCTTAACAAGTTGGAATAGTTGTTACCTGAAATTTTAAAACTTTTCCTTGATGGATTTACCAAAAAAAGAACACTGAGCTTGCCCTTATATCTTACTCTTTTTTTTTCTTTATTCCACTCTGAGCCAACCTCTGTCCTAGCACAGATAGATGCATCTTGCTATGAACATAGAGTTTCTGATTGGATGTTTATGTTAAAGGGTTATTAAAATGATTTAGTGCCATGAGATCTGACCAGATAAAGAATTATTTTGTAAAGCCATGAGGCAGATGATTAATTACAATTTGTTTTTAAAATGTTAAAATTTTCTTTTTATTTTACTTTTTTTTATTGTGAAGTAAAATGCATTTAGGAAGATGCACACTAACATACAACTCAATAAAGTGACCATATATTGGGTATTTTTTTAAAAATTACTTTTATTTATCAGATTAAGCTCTGTGCCTTAACACATCATAAGAAATTCCAGAAGGTTTACAGCATTAAATATAAAATTTTAAGAGCTGTCTAGTCTCTGGGTGGGGAATACCTTCCCAAGTATAACATCACGTCGAATAGAGATACTCTAGGAAAAAGATGGGTAGATTTGACCAGACAAAAACTGCAACTTTCTCCCGCAAGGCTACGATGGTAGGACTGGGCAGCAAGCGAACTGAGGAGGACTGGCAATATTGCTCTGACCAGGCTCTTGCAGCCTTTCTTTTGCTCAAAGTTTGGTTGCCTCAGGGTTAAGCTCTCTGAGGGCTTTGTGATTGTTGTTTATATATGATACTATCATTTTAACTTGATAACTTCTAGGCATTTTATAGCATAATGTAATAAAAGTGTGCTTTCATAAAAGTAAATTCAGTATAACACATTTTCCCTAAGATAGTTTGAGATAAGAGTATTGTTTGACTTCCCTCAGCTCTTTCCAGGAAAGCAATTTTAAGATGAGCGATTCTGGGGCCGGCCCGGTGGCGCACTGCTACAGTGCGCCGCTTGGGAGCGCAGCGGCGCTCCCTCCGAGGGTTCGGATCCCACATACAGACCGGTTCCCGCTCACTGGCTGAGCGAGGAGCGGGAGCAACACCGAGGGTTGTGGTCCCGTTGCCGGTCCCAGTCCGGTATGGGTGCGACACTGAGGGTTGCGATCCGTTGCCCGTCACGAAAAAAGACAAAAAGGTAAAAAAAAAAAAGAAGAAGGTACCTTTGAAAATAGGAATTTATATATAAAATTATCTTTACAATAAGAAATTTAGCCAACATGTTAAGACAGTGAAAACCAGCTTTGCCTCTGGCCTTTTAAAGGTTTAGTGATACAGATAATTTGGATGTAGTGAATGATTGCTTGTGGCTTAACTGGGGTTTTTTGTTTTCCTTCATTTTTGTAGCTGACACATATGGGTGTAAATCCGCTAGAAGCTGAAGAACTCATCCGTGATGAAGATAGTTCTGATTTTGAATTCATAGTCTATGACTCCTGGAAAATATCAGGCAAAACAGCAGAAAACACCTTTAATAAAACCCATACATTCCACTTTCTGTAAGATTATTTTAAAAGTCCAATGGACCAGCCATTTGTAAACCTTACATTGTTTTTTATTTTAGGGACAAAGATTGGTTGATGTTGTAGAGGTGATGATTGTGATGCAATTGTTTAGAGACTTTCTATACAATTTAAAAGTTCATAAACTTTTGATGTGGGTGGAACCTTAAAGGATCTCTCATCCTGTTTAGCAGGAACAGCCAAAGACTAGAACCTCCTTACTGATGCTGTCTCCTGGCTTGTTTGCTTTCTAGCTGGTGGGACTTTGGGTCTGTAGCATATGTCTGGTTTTGCTTTATCATCTTTTGAGATTCTTATCATGTAGGAGGATCATATCTCCTATCAATATATGTCAAGTGCCATTTATTATAATATCCTGTTGGATGATCACTGACCTATATTTGAAGACTACTTGAGTCATTGTCACATAAACTGCCCAGTTCATATTTTGGATACAACTCCAATTTTAAGAAAAGTTTTTCTTTATATACAAAGGAAATTGGCTTCTGTCTTAACTTCCTACTCTTTCCTTGGAAAAACCAAGAAAAGCTCTTACGGGTATTTTGTAAGATAGCCTTCAAGTACATTGGTCAGGTTGCTGGTAGATAATTTCTTTAGGACGAACATCCCAGTTGTTTCAGTCTTTTTTGCCTTAATTGGTATAGCTCCTGGGCATTTGTCTTTTCTAATTCACCTTTTTGAACCTCCTGAAATTGATAGTGTCTCATATAAAAGGCCTTGGAGATGTGAATATGATAGGTCTGTGATGTGGGATTAGGCGTCTGTTTTTAACAAGGCTTCAGGTAACTCAGGTACCCAGAACCATTGTATATATTATGGGATAAAGTCCGAATCTTTGTTTTTTGCTGTTGAGTGCTAAGCTCTGTCATAAATCCTAGGATCTAAACACAAAGCCTTAAACTTTATGTCATCATTGGGCCCAACTTCCAGCCACAGTAAGTACTTATAACTCTGTATCCCTGTACTTGCTGTTCCCTCAGCCTCCAATATCCTTTCCCCCATCTTTTCCATATGGTGAGATTTATGTATCCCACAGGCTTCAACTTGGAAGAACTCTAGTAACTTCTCCAGACAGGTATTATTGGTATAGGATCCGATTTCCCAACCAGATCACTCCTATATCTGGGTAAATCTCTCTGTCTAAATGCTCTCACAGCATTTGAGTAATGCTCTATTATAGCACTATAGGATCTACCATATATGTTGAAACGGATCTGTGTGAATATATATCTGTCCATCTATTCCATATACTTTCATCTCAAGTGTAGGGACCACATGGGTTTATATTCTTGGAGTCTTGATCACTACATGATACATCTAATACTGTAGCCTAAGTCTGCATTGGGATTTTTTTGAGGGATGGAGAGAGTACAAAAGGAAAAGGAATCCCATGACCTTTGTTTGACCTATTATCCTAAGATAGGTGCTATGAGCCTCTGCCCTGGCACCCCATAGGTCAAAGCTTTTGACCCCACTGGAGCTGTTCCATTCCCCATCCCTACATGTTCATCCTTTCCCTGATCTCAGAAATTGGCTTTGCAAAATAGACAATAGGCTGTCTGGGAAAACTTCACAGGTATATTCACTGGGTTACTGTACAGAGCAATATGGGGGTGTTTGAGGGGGTGTCCATAGTTGAGTAAGCTCCTGGGAGCTCTTTTGGAAATACAAAGGAAGCAGAAAGGGTGTCACAAACCTTACCAAGAGTCTTGGTCTGTTGACAGCTTATATATCACTGATGCCCGGTTTGACTATACCATTCAAACTGTTTTTAGTCAGTGAAATTAGTTTGCTTAAAAAAAACAAACAAAAAAAGACATGAAAGCGTATTTTTCGTCTTGGTCTGTTGACAGCTTATATATCACTGATGCCCGGTTTGACTATACCATTCAAACTGCTTTTAGTCAGTGAAATTAGTTTGCTTAAAAAAACAAACAAAAAAAGACATGAAAGCGTATTTTTTATTAGGTTGGGTTCAATACAAGGAGAGGTCCCTGTGCCAAAGCCACGAGCCAATCGTCCAAAAAAAGTTCGTATGATAGAAGAGCAGAAGGCAATGCCTGACCAGGTTTGTTTTTTTAAATGTTGCTTTAAAAAATATCTAAAGTTAAAAGAGCCATTAATATCATGTACATGCAATTTGGCCATCTTAGGGTCTTGAGTCAGGTTCTATCACTTGAATAATCATTTTATTTAAGCCTTTAAACATTTTAATGGATTGGCCACTTATCTTTGTTTTAACTCATTTCTGTAGTTTTGATCAGTTCTCCTGAACTAGAATTTCTCAACCTCAGCACTGTCAACATTTAGGGCTGGATATTTCTTTATTGTGGGAACTGTCTTGTGCACTGTAAGATGTTTAGCAGCATTCCTGGCCTCTAAGTACTAGGTGCCAGTAGCACCCCCTNGTCTTGGTCTGTTGACAGCTTATATATCACTGATGCCCGGTTTGACTATACCATTCAAACTGTTTTTAGTCAGTGAAATTAGTTTGCTTAAAAAAAACAAACAAAAAAAGACATGAAAGCGTATTTTTCATTAGGTTGGGTTCAATACAAGGAGAGGTCCCTGTGCCAAAGCCACGAGCCAATCGTCCAAAAAAAGTTCGTATGATAGAAGAGCAGAAGGCAATGCCTGACCAGGTTTGTTTTTTTAAATGTTGCTTTAAAAAATATCTAAAGTTAAAAGAGCCATTAATATCATGTACATGCAATTTGGCCATCTTAGGGTCTTGAGTCAGGTTCTATCACTTGAATAATCATTTTATTTAAGCCTTTAAACATTTTAATGGATTGGCCACTTATCTTTGTTTTAACTCATTTCTGTAGTTTTGATCAGTTCTCCTGAACTAGAATTTCTCAACCTCAGCACTGTCAACATTTAGGGCTGGATATTTCTTTATTGTGGGAACTGTCTTGTGCACTGTAAGATGTTTAGCAGCATTCCTGGCCTCTAAGTACTAGGTGCCAGTAGCACCCCCTCTCCGGTTGTGACAACAAAAAATATCTCCAGATATTGGTAAATGTCCTCTGGGGGGCAGAATTGCTCCCAGGTGAGGACCACTTTCTAAATTGCCCTTTTTGTATTTTGGTATTTGAAAATGATTGACTTGTTAATGTTACTCTTCTATTAAGAAATTAATATAAAAATGTTACTGAAAATAGAAAGTCTTTTTTTTTTTTAACTGTAAAAAAGACATAAAGAAAAAGGTTAACAGGTAAGCGAATAGGTCAGTCAGCTTGATAATGACTTTATTTTTTCAGTTAGAAAAAATGGAAGAATCTCATCAAGAAGCAACAGAAAAAGAGGTAGAAAGAATCTTGGGATTGTTGCAAACATATTTTCGAGACGATCGTAAGTATGACACCAAATTCAAAATGGGGGAATTTGTATTTATCAGGTAGACATGTCAATTTCAATGAGGTTATTTTTACTTAAAAGGCATTTTCAGTTGTGTAGAACATTTGAATCATTTCGATTCTTTCTTAGCATATATACAAAGGTATTTTAGAAAGTTTGTGGAAAAGTAGAATTAAAAGAGAAAACAAATCTTTCCATGAACTTTTTAAAGTACCCTCATATTTAATGAGGCTTATTCCTTTTAGAAATCAAATCCCATGTGAGAATGTTAGTGAAGTAACTTTTCATTTTTATCTTTAAAAGATGGGGTATTTTTTCTGCTACAAAATAAAATGTGCCATGGGCCGGCCTGGGGGCACACTCGGTTGAGTGCGGCGCTTGGGAGCGCAGCGGCGCTCCCGAGCGGAGAGTTCGGATCCCATATAGAGACTGGTCAGCTCACTGGCTGAGCGCGGTGCGGGCGCGACACCGAGGGTTGCGATCCTGTTGCCGGTTGTGGTGTGGGCGTGACACCGAGGGTTGCGATCCCGTTACTGGTCACGAAAAAAGACAAAAAGGAAAATAAATAAATAAATAAATAAAATAAAATAAAATGTGCCATAAAAGTGAGAAAAGAAAAAAAGTACCTGTTCCATCTCTCACTCCTCTAGGTAGCCACATGTTAAACATGATGTGTAAAAACAAGCACATAAATAGATGGGGTTTTTTTTTGCCTTTTTCAAAGGTAATTATAATACACATTCTTTTGCAATGTGACTTTTCCATGTGGTCATTCTTCCACAACAATACATATAGATCTCCCTTAGTCTTTTCAATGATTCCCACTGTATGGCTGCATCATAAATATACTTAACAGATCCTCTATTAATGGATGAGTTAAGTTCTTTTTTTGTTTTTATATATATATTTTTAAAAATTTATTATCATATTCTTTCTTACAAATCATGATATTTCTTTATGCCTTTTAATGAGTTTTCTTTATAGCATTTTATTCTTATAGAAACCGCTTAAGTGAAAAATCTCATATGTAACTTTGTGAACTTGTGCTAATATTTCTGTAGGGCAGCTTTTTAGAGGAGGTTGTCAGATCAGTGGGACACATGCTTCAGAGGTATGCCATGTTGACCTCCAGAAGGGATGTAGTTATTTGTACTCCCACAACAGGATAAGTGCTCATTCCTTTCTTTGTCTCTGGCTAATGCTAGAGAGTACTGCTGTCACTGATAAGCAATAGTCATTTTTCCTGTTTTGAAGAATTGTTTTCTCTTTTATCTATAGCTGATACTCCAATGTCCTTCTTTGACTTTGTGATTGATCCAAATTCCTTCCCCCGTACAGTGGAAAACATCTTTCATGTTTCCTTCATTATACGGGTAAGATAGAAGATTATTTCTCTATTTGCTCTTATACACTTTTAAAAGGACACATAATAAAAGCTATAGATGGGAACTGGCAAAGTTATCTGCACTAAACTATGTATTTTAGACTTACTGTAACAAAACTAATTGGCATAGTAAGTGGAAGAAACTAGCTAAAAATTTGTGCACTTGCTTTTACGTTTCAGCAATTATTTAGAGAAAGAATTGGCAAAATTTGAATGTGGAACTATAGATTAGATAACAGTATGGTATAAATGTTAAATTTCCTGAATTTCATAGTGTCATATTAAGGATAGAATATCCTTGTTCTCAAGAAATACACACGGAAGGATGTGGAAAAAGGGGCAGGCTATCTATCATTCTTATATCATTCATAAATAATATAACATATAAAGTGAGATAGTGGTAAAGTAAATGTGGGAAAACTTTAAGAACTCATGAATATAGGTAAAGAATATATGGGAGGTCTTTAGTCTTACAGCTCTTTAAGTCTGAAATTATTTAGAAACAGGTTTAAAAAAAACCTAGTCAGAAATGTTCAACGGAAATTTGCTTTACATTGTCTCTAGTCTTAGAGCAGGTTGCATTCCTGCACGTGTAAGATGAATTTGATTTTAACTTTAGACAACGTATTTTCTCAGAAATGATAACAAAGACATATTTTACCAAGTCCCAATGATAGAATAATGCATAATAAAATGTGGAGTATTCCAAAATATGGATAAATCAGTTAAAAAGATAAAACATAGTTTTACTTAACAGAATCTCAGGATGGAGGCTATGACTGGGTAAAAGAGCTGACTAGAAACCTGAAAGATACCCTGTGTAAAGAAAGATTTTCGAGAAGTTTTGTCCCTATCATCTGCTTGTTATTGTTATGGTACATTTTGATTGTCTGAGATACAGAATTTTCTAATTGAGCAATTTTTTTTTATCCAGTGGTTATAGGTTTGAGTCTAAATTTTAGTCTTCTCTTAAAATCATGTTTTTGTTTTAGGATGGTTTTGCAAGAATAAGACTTGACCAAGACCGACTGCCAGTAATAGGTAAATGATATTATGTTTGGAAAAACTAGTTTTAGAGAAAATATATTTGTTATAAGAGCTTATATTATACTAAATATAAATGAGTTTGTAGGTAACTCATTGTATGTGACAAACTCAACTAACTGAAAATACTGAAAACAGTCATAGTTTGAAACTTTGATGGATTCATCTATATCATCGATTCAACATCTACTGCTGTAGAGATGAACAAAAAGTGATATAATTTCCCTCAAATTTTAATTTAGAAAGTTTGTAATTGTGGTCATTTTTGTAGTTTCCTTCTTTCTAACTACGTTTTCCTGGATGCCAGCTCCTCTTTTTTTTCCTTGAGTTTCTGTGAATCTTTCATTCTCATGCGAATAATTTCACACTCTCATATCCTTCTAGGGTCTCTGGTAGAGAATGAAATTCATTGTGATTAATTGTTAACTTTAAACATTCTCAATTTGATACTGACACAGGGTGTAGCTCTGTGGTTGGTATGTAGATATACAGAGGTTTTCAGATGTTTGGAATGTGTTCCTCCACTACATGTTTGTTTAAATAGAAGCAAATGGGATTACTTGCTACTGTAATAATACTACAGCATCTCAATAATGCATGAAATCCTAATAAGTGTGTAATATAAGTGTCTTCTCATTCCTGTTATTCATCGGTTTCTGTTCAGATTACCTCTTATGATTTGATAAGCTTTGAAAACTTTGTCTTTCAAACAGAGCCTGCTAATAGTAATGAAGAAAATGAAGGAATTGACCAAAACACACAAGTTAGGAATCAAGCAATTATAGCTTTGAGTTACCACGACTGGAAGGTAAAGCTCTGCATGTTGCCCCTGCATAGTTCTGACTCTGACTTCATTTACTGTAAACCCAGTGCCCAAATGTTCTTTGTTCTCTGCCAGGAGATTGTGAGGACCTTTGAGATTTCAGAGCCTGTGATAGCTTCAAGTCAGAGCCAGCAGAGGCCATCTTGATGCCAGCTGAAGGTAACATTTTCTACGGGACAGCTGCACAGTTCTATTAGAGTTTATTTGGCAATCCAAACCATTATACTTTTCCCCCCATTCCAGTAAAGTTTGGATTTTGCCTCCCTCTAGTGCTTCCTCCTTAGAATTCTGTGTAACTGGTGACAAAGGTGGAGGCAGGACACAGTGGTTGTAAATGCCCTTCTGTGGATGGATTACTTTGATGTTCTTAAGATTTGCAGTTGAAAGAGGCAGAGCAGGAGTTTATTCTTGGCTTTTTTCCCCCCTAAAAAACTGATAAATTAGATAAATGAAACATTCAATCTTTCCATCAGTATTGTTCACTGTCTCATTAGATTTGCTTATTTTGAAGGTATAAAGCAGAAAAGGAGGATTAGGATTTAGGATAGAATTACTTAGTAAATGGGCATATCTGAAATTTGAATTATGCTATGAAATAATTTTTCATTTTTATCAAGGAGAATATTTCTAGAAAGAAATCTTAGTAATGGCCTGGCATTCTGTACTGCAAACAGCTAGGGAAGGGGATCAGAAGACCTAGATTCTGTTGGCTCTGCCCTTTACTTCAAGATCTTGGGCAAATCACTTAATCTCATTCAGCTTCATTTTCCTTATCTATAAATCAATAAAATTGGGGGATTTCTGAACTAGATTACTGCTAAGGCTTTTGTTCTAGCTCAAATTTTCTATTAATTTAAGAATTAATATGTGCTTTTTAGTACTTAATGTAAACTCTTAATATGTGCTTGAATTAATTGAACTTCTTTTGTTCCAAGATAATTTACTACTGTAACAATGTTTTGAGGTAAAGAGGAGAATAGATATACAGTATATAATGTGGATTAACCTGGGCTGTACTCACTGAGGAGGGGCTAGTTGTTAGATTTCATTTATGTATATTATATTAACTTTTATCATTTTAAACTGTTAACCAGCTATTTTTTTCCCTTTTTAGGACTCAAATGGATACTGAAATCCAAAAAGGAAAGCAGCATGTACTGTATATATTGTATGATTAAGCATTTTTAAAGATTGTTTTTAGTAAAATGTAGCTTTTGATAGTTAATGAATTTGTCATAGTTGTCTTTGATTAAAGGAAATTCACTGCCATATTCACAAATAATTGTAGTTACTCTTTATTTTCTGATCAGGGGAGAGTTTCTCCTTTTTTCAATCCTATTCATTGAAATTTTTACTTAGGTTAGTAATGCTCTATAGATCATTATGGTTCCTTTTACTTCTCTTTAGACGTAAAGTTAACTAGTCAAGTCAACGAATAGGTTGTGCCATATGAAATTATTGTTTTTGCAGGTAAAAAATAGTCAAATATCAGCAATTTTACATGATTTGGCCTATGATTTACACACACGAGACTATTAAATCCTCTGGCAAGCCAGGCTGGATTGCTTTCCTTCCCAGCAACACCAACCCTGGATCCCTCTTACTGGCATGCTACTCCATGCTCTCATCTCTGCTGGGCTTGCAAGTTTGTGCTTAAGATTTTCTGGGTCTTAGTTTGCTCCTTCTCCTATTCCCATCTTTCTCCTTTGATCATTTCTCACTCCTTCCCTGTGGCATTGGGGGAGAGGTGTCTCTTCTGTGGAAGGCTCTGGATTTCAGCTCTTCTTGCTTCCTGGAGGCTCTGTTCTGTCAGCCAGCCCCTCTACCCACATCTGGTGTTTTCCCTTCAATCATTCTCATATCTTAAAGAAATTACTGTGACCCTCCTCAAGCCACTGTCCTGTCTCCTCTTTAAATAAGAACCACTTGCTGTCTCCCCTTTTGTCAGTCCTCAAAGCATGGTGGTGTGGCACCTCCTTGCCCACCAATCTACTGAGTAAGTCTGTTTTATGTCAAATTTGCTGATTTCCTTTCCAAATTGTTAACTCCAATGGATACTTGCTGTGCATTTGACACATGAAAATTTACGCCTTTAAACTGTACATCCTTGATATCTGTTGCTTTCCCTGGTTCTCCTTCTACTGCCTTACTCTTGTGATTCATACTTCATTTATGTCCTGAAAAGTCTCAAAACTTTGATGCCTAAACTTCTTGAAAAAGCTACAGATATGTGTAAGCAATGGCTTACTGGACAGCATATGGGGTGTTTTGAATGTGTATAAAATAGCTCCCCCAATCTTCTCATAATCCCTGTACTGGCACTTTTACTACTTTATTTCCTCAAACAGAAACCTAGGATTTTTTTTTTTTTTGCTTCCCCACCCTGTCACTGATTCCCATTTGGTCTCCTGATCCTCTCCATTGTGCCCAGGTTGTTGCCACAGACTCCCACTATCTGTCCTTCAGATTTCTTCCACTTCTTCAAAACCAGTTGTGAATTTCTCAGGGATTCCACTGCCTTCAAGATTCTAAAAAATCTGAATTCTTCAGTGATGTTCAAAGCCTTGCATGTTCAGACCTTTTGCCTACATTTCCAGTTCACTTCCTCCTTTCTAAACTCCAGCATCTTTTTTATTGTTGTTAAATAGCTTTATTGAGATAAAATTCACATACCATATAATTCACCCATTTAAAATATACAGTTCAGTGTTTTTTAATCTATTCATGGGTTGTGCAACCATCACCACAATCTAATTTTAGGACATTTTTGTCCCCCCAACCCTGTACCCATTAGCTGTCACTCGTTCCTCACCTACCCTTCAAACCCATTAGCCCTAACCAACCACTACCCTGTCTATAAATTTGCCTACTTCCGTGTCCATAAACTTGTCTCTTCTAGATATTTCACATAAATAGAATCACACAACATGTAGTCTTAACCCCATACATTTTCAAGTATGCATGTCCAGAGTTGTCTTCCTCTTTCCCTTTGTCTACTTTCTACTTGTTTAAAGCTCTCTTCATGTAGGAAACTTAAAAGTGGTTACCTTCTGCAAACCAAGGTGGAAAAGCTGTTTCTTTGTAGAAAAATACTTGTTTCATTTTTATGAGTGGTGTTAAAGGAATAATGAAAAGCATTCAATAGAGGTGTATGACAGACTTTTCAGAGTTTTGGAGAGGTAGATTAAAAAAGTGGCTACAATTTTTTTTTTTTTTTTTTTAAAGGAAGAGTCTGTTTTCCCTCCTTTTGAATTTGGGCCGGTCTTGGTGATTTATGTGACCAATGGAATACAGCAGAAGTAACGTTCTGGCACTTCTGAGGCTAAGTCGTAAGAAGGCTTATAGATTCTAGCAGTCCCCTTAGAATACACATTCTTAGAACCCTGAGTCCCCATGTAATAAGTCCAAGTACCATGTGGCCCTGAAACTACAGAGGAGAGAGAGAGAGGGACCAGCAAAGCCCAGCCTTGCAGCCTTCCCTGCCAAGGGCATGTATGGAAGCCATCTTGAACTTTCCAGACTAGCCTGCCTGAATTATTCCCAAGCAGCTCTGGTGGTGTCTGGTGGGGCAGAATTGCCCAGCTGAGCTCTGCTGGGTCTCCTGACATAGAATTGTAAGATAAAACAAAATGATGATTGTTTTAAGTCATTAAATTCTGGGATTGTTTTACAGCTAGCTGAAATATTTGGGCAAACTATGCTTGTGGTTTGGGTGATGTTTGATGCACTTAGAAACAAAATTAGGGGTATACTATTACTATGGGCATTTGTAACACAAATGACTATAAAAGTGAGCTAGTCCAAAAAAGAAATACAAGAATCAAGAAAACAATTTAAACTTTATTTTTTTCTAGTTGACTTCTCAAAGATGGTGGCATACTCAAGAGCTCCCTTCGGAATGGTTTCTTAATTTTATCCTCTTTTTTTGATTTTTCCATCAAAAGAGTCACTTCTATGAGTGCTTTCTGGTAAGGTTGGAAAATTGGATAAGCTGTGACCCATTCAAACTCTCTCACCTCCTCTTTCTCCACTTGAGATTTTAGGAAAGGAGGAATGTGGCTAGTGAATTTCTGAGCATCTCTTTGACCGCTCCTCTGCTCTGTGACTTCTCTTCCTCGAATCATTCTATCTTGATGTTCCTTCATCTGTTCCTTTGCCCATGCCAATTTGTGCTTTTTGGTTTTAGTTTTGTGGGTTTTCTGGATGTTTCCATTTTCATCCTTCTCCGGTGTTAGTATTTTGGGGGAAAGTATTTCACTTGGAATTCTTTGAGGGAGTAGTCGATATTTGTGGTCTCTGAGGCCTCTAGCTCGTTTGGCTCGGTATATGTGTTTCTCTATGTGATTAAGTTCCCTCTCAGACACTAGATAATCGCATTTTTTAGCATCTTCTTTGTTTTTGCTTTGCAATCTCTTTTCCTTTATCTTAATTTCCCATTTTGGAGCCATTTTATATTTCCATGCTTCTTCCATTATCATTTCTTGATATTGTTGATAGTAGTGTGCCTCTGCTTTAGCAAACCGGAAGTTGAAGGACACAGCCTTAAGTTGATGAAGTGTTTCATTCTCCTGTTGAAACTTTTGGGCTAACAGTTTCCTCACTTCTGAAGAACGGATACCACCTAAACTCTTGTGAAAAGGAAGTATTAGAACTTTTTAAATGGGATGTTCCATGGCACAGTTCTCAAGTGGGTTGTTGTCTCTGCCTGGTCCTCCTGTACCATGTCTCAGTTAGCGTCTCTCAACCATATTTCATGTCTTCCTCTTCAAACCTCCTACACTCACCTCCTCCAGAGTTCCCTCCTAGTTGAAGACTTTGTCTTAGACTTCAAGAAAACAGAAGCAGTCACGCAGGAGCACCCTCCTTCTCACTGCCAGAACCACCACCTTGCATCTACCCCAGATTCTGCCTTCCTGCCTTTACAGAGGAAACAGTCCCTTTGCCTATCAAAAGCCAATTCTTCCACCTGTGCTTATTGAGCTTAAGACTTTCAATTTTGCAATGATCAAATTCCCTTTCCTCAGATTATCCCTTCTACTGGATCACTCCTGTCAACATAAAAATATGCTTTTGAATATATCATCTTTAATCACAAAAAAGGAAAACAATTCCTTCACTGCACAGCCTTCTCTAGCTTTGCCCTATCTTTTGTTCCCCTTTGCAGTATAACTTCAGTAGTTACCTATAATCTATCTTCACTCTCTCACCTCGCATCTTCTCCATCCATTTCAATTGGGTTTCCATCCCTCACCACTTCTGTGACTGCTATGGTCTAGGTCATGAGTGGCCTCCACACAGAAAATTCTGTGGTCCATGTCTGTTCCTATCGTACTTGACTTCTCAGCAGCATTTAAGCACTCTCTCTTCCTTGAAACATTTTATTCTGACTTCCAGCTACTGCCAGGGGCATGAGACTAAGGTTATCTGGGACACCCCCAGACTATCCCAGCCATTTGCTGAATTTCCCCAAGTGACTGAAGATCCTTTGATTCTCTTCCTGCCACATGGCCACTCTTTTTCCATCTGCTTTGCTGGTTCTGTCTTTTAAATGTAATGCAGGAAATATGGCAGAGAAAATAGTCACTTAAGATAGAGAACAGTCACATTTAGGCTTTGGATGTGGATGGTCTCAATCATTCAACAAGGTGACCTACCATATGTCAGGCACTGCTCTAGAGTGTGAATAAAGGACGAATGAGATAGACAAGGCACCCGGATGCCCTATCCTTTTCTCTCAACTTCAGACCTAGACACTATCCAGTTGGCATCTCCACTTGCCTCTTCCTTCAAACTTTTCCTTCAGTTTCCCTTCTTAGTCCTATCACTTCTAACTTCAAAATACTTCTCACATCCATGTGTCATGTCAGTTCTGCGGCCCACACCCTAGGGTAATAGCCTCACTAGTTGCCTTGAATCCACACTTCTCTCCCTCTGCCCCCATGCCTCCAATCACTGCAGCCAGAGTTTATTACATAAATCTAAGCATGTCACTTTCCTTCATAAAACCCTGGGATAGTGCCCTATTGCTTTTAGGAGAAAATCCCAAACTCCAGTACAGCGTCCATAACCCGGCCCGACTGCCTCTCTAAACTACTTCCTCACCTCGACCACTTGTTCACTCTGCTCCAGCCACACAGACTCTTTTGTTCCTCAAAAACCGTATTCTCTTCCCACCTGAGTATTTTCACACGTACTTCCTTCATCTGCTCGCTGCCACACACGCCAGCAATTCTGGTACTTAAGTATACATTGTTCAGATTTCAGCTTAACTCTTACTTA